TCCACTAAAAGCACTATATTTTATCGGTCATTCTAAGAATCCTCTATGGTTTTCGTCCGCCCTACGTCGATCTTTTTTATGAGCTACACTATATGCTTCAAAGTTTTTACTACTTGAAGTTTAATCAATAGAGCAAACTGACGGCATCATAGAACCAAAGGAATTTTATAGCACCAACATAGAAATAAAAAAAATTCGAACATTTTCCCATTTTATACCAGCAGTGCTAATCCTGAACTCTAATATGGGAGCCATTCAAACTATTACAAAAGGCTGAACCGGAATTCCGGACGTTACTTGGACAGAAAACGTGCTTTTGAATGCACAAATTACTTGGCCGTTAGTCAGTTAGGACACTTAATTTGAAGAATTATATTGAGATTAGCACTAATATTATAGCCTGGTAAGGGTTCCTCAGTTGACTAAATTTCCTCAGCTACCACAGTTTCAAACCATCGGCTGATATATGAAACTCGCCATCACAATACTACGCAAACGCCTTAGAGTTTTCGTTTTACTCAAGTTGTAAAATTTATACATTTTATTTCGTATTTTCTTCACGACGTTGAATGCCTGTGTGGTTTGCTTTCGATGGCTCCAAATTTTCCCTCTACAAACCCTAGTATGGTCCCAAAAGACACGCAAATTAAAATAGTCTGCATCGGGCTCTCCAGAAATTTTGTCCTTTACGAACGCAAATGAAAGCACTTCCAGCTTTGAGAAAATGTGTGCGCCTTACGCTCTGCATAAAATCATGCCAGCAGTTTCCTGATTGCACCTTGTCAGAATTCTCCACAAGGAATATGCTTAGCATAAAAAACGTGAATAAGCACGAAGTGGCTCCAGCGTACTTTAAAGACCTAATTTCCTTTGATAAAGAGGGTTTATTGGATTTTTTAAGTTCACCGATGATACCGATGTAAGCATTCAGGAAGTCCAGTTAGGCGAGCGAACGTTTTCGATTAATACCGCGAGACGATGAACAGACAGTGACAACTGGTGTCAAGACGCCGCGAAGCAACGACGAGATGATCGAATGACATGAACTAATTTTAGGACACGTCCCTCCTCCCCCTGCCTCTTTGATCTCTTAACAATTCCCCCCTCTCTTCCTTTTTTACCGCTGATTGGTTGCTTGATCTTTTGCTAACTCTACCCTTTTTATATTATTGTACATGCCTGATGATGAATTTATCGAAAACTTCCGTTTACCTAACTTGACTTCCTGAATGGTTACATGGGTATCATCGCTGAACTTAAACAATCCAAGGATCCCTCGGTGTTTAAGGTACTTAGTGAGTACCTGCGTTTCCACACCCGCCTTGCCGAAGTGAATATGGTTTCTGATTTCATCATAAACTGCACAATTGAAAGAGGGTTTAGGTTGCTTTGATTCGGTTTCTGTAGCCTGCAAAGTGAGTCCATCATTCGTCCTTGGTCCTCTTGTGAAATAAAATTGACTAACGCAGTTATGTTCGTCTGTAGTTTGTGTTAGTACATTGACTAACTCCTTATGGTTCGCCATGGCATTCGTTTTGGTTCTATTTGCTCCATTAGACAGGTTAGTAGTCAAGCGGAACATGCTAGCTACTTCGGAATATCTCATGGTATTCATTAATTCATTCCATGCTCATAGTAACAACATACTCTATACGAGGTTGAACGGAGTTACTTTTACTGCTGAAGTGTTGGTAATGACTATACTTTTTCAGTGGCTTAGACCTTCTTAGAGATTCGAGTGGAGCGACTTCCCTAGTTTGTCGGTGTTTTGTCTCCCTGAGAATTACTTTCGTAAACTCGTAAATTTTTTACCTTATTGCTAGTTCTTATTAAAAACAAAAAAAATTTCAGATTGGATCAAAACTAAAACATCGTAAATTATTTGCAGAAGGTTTATTCAGATTCTCACAGGTCAGAAAATGTAGGTCTCGCAATGTAAATGGCATTTCCCTTCACCCGAGTTCCTACCACACAAGAGGAACAAAAATTCACATAATTGCTTTTTTCGAGACGTAAAGCCGCGCTAATTTGTGATACGAGGACTCACCAGCGCTACAGTTAGTCTCGGTTGATAAAAAAACTTGTATCGAATATACGTGCTTATGAGTTAATTTCTTCCAAATTGTTATACAGGTGCTGCTATCGAGGGCTGAAGGAAGTTCGTAAAAATTGCAGAAGGCTTTTGTATCTAAACGTTGTTCTCTACGAAGATGGAGCGATAGTATCCGGCGTAAATAAACTTGGCCTCCAGTTTACCAGTAGCTTAGATCCTCTTAGAGGCTCGAGCGAAGCGAATTCCCTCATTTAGCTGTGTTTCGTCTCTCGGAAAATTACTTCTGTAAAGCCGTAAGTTTTTTAGGTCATTGTTATTTCTCATGAAACAAAAACACTTCAGATTGGGTAGAACCCGAAACATAGTAAATACACTTATCCTATTAATCACTTCGTGCTCTTTGAAGATGGTCAACCGAAATGCAGAACACCCGCCCCTGATTGCCCAATTCACAATGACACGGGCAGCCCCTTTCAAAGATCAGAGGTTTCATCGGCCACCGAGTCAAACTATCGGTAGCAATTTTTCTCCAGCGGCAGCCCATTTGCAACTTGATCGTCTGCCACAGGTTAGGGTCGCCCCGTTGCCTTCCATTCCATCCAAACGGTCTCGAATGGAAAAGCCCGAGGAAACGTACGTCATACTATTTAGGTTTATTCTTCAACGACTTGAGTTAGTTAAAACTTAAAATCTTGCGAAAGTTTTTGGCGCTCCCGTTTCGGTTTATTCACATTATACATATTACGTATCTCTGACGGCAACGGGTAACGCTGCTGTTAGTATTTAATGCGGTATTATCAGGATTAGAGTTATACCTACTAGTTTTTTTTGGAAAAATATCACCAACTGAAAAGTTTCCTCTAGCTTCCCGAACTGTCCAGCCCTTCCTATACTTCGGTTACGCGCAACCTTGAATTCAGTCACGAAAGTCAACAAAGCTAGTTTCAGATCTCCGATTTATCTAAAGTTTGGTAGCATTCGTCAGTCGTTCACATATTTTGATCCCTGGTTTTCTGAACTGATCGAGCAAATCCAGTGGTCATGCTCTGAGAGAAATGGGAAAGATATTTTTTAAGAGAAGACAGTAAAAAAGACATTTGATGTATTAAGGTCCTTATCTTATAAAACCTAGCTTTGCTTATGAGCATGTTATTTGGCTTTAATAAAAACCAAATGTCGTGAGTTGTTGATTGAAATATTTGAACTGTGGTTTCAAATCAAATTTATACTTTAAATTGAGGGTACAGATCAATAAGTGTAGAAGACTTCCTACCGCAAAGGCAGCACAAGTAATACAAAGATTAACTGCGAATGATATCCTACGCACGTGAACATTTCTGGACAACGAAAGTAATAGTTGCCATTGAAATAGTCTTTTAAGGTTTTGTTCAGGGCTACACACGTTTCGGTCCATGGCACACTGCAAAGTGGACTTGGCACCACAGTAATACATGCCTTTATACTAAGTGCCAGAACGAAGTCGGACGACCCTGTCCAGCAAAGTTTTCCCGGCAGCTATTCATCGTGTGGCCACCAAATCGTAAAGTTCCCTGCCCAAGTTTCTTATGGAAATCGTGGTTAAAGGTTTAATGCTTGATGGAGGAGTAGGTAATAGGTATTTAATGTGCGGAAAGTGAACAATGGAAAATAAATTGAAGCCACTTGTAAGTGTTTTACTGAGCTAAATATATGTGTGTGAAAAGTATCAGGAGTGAATAAAGTCGACCAACATAAACTCTTATTGGTTCAGTAAGGGATGCTTATTGACCAATAAGAATATGAGACAACTCTTAGTGGTTAACATAGTGAAGGAAATAGTTGGATAGGCCGAAATTCGATCTACTGAAAATGTGCAATTAAGTGGTTTTCATCAATACGAACCCTCAAAGAGCCTCTCAATGAATCTCTGCCGTTTTCCCAATCAGTAGGATAGGAACATTTGTTGGCCTGGAAGCTATACACACTGGAGGTTAACAGTGTGTTAACCGAATCAATTATTTCCTCTACCTCGTGTGCGTTTTCAGCAAGCGACCCCATTGCAACTAAAGAAATGCTCTTTTTCTACTGCACGTATTGCAAAGGCTAGGTGAGATATCGTTACTGATGATTGTTGAATCGTTATAAAGTTCGAGGGATTGCTCCTTACATAAAATATTGCTTTGTAGTGGACTTGAGATCATGTGTGCCTTCCAAGAACGCTGGCATCTCCCCATGGTGGTCTTATTTCTTTCCGATACATCCGACAATCGGTAACATAAGAGGTCGAATTCTCAAGCTGTAAACAATTCTGGGTCATTTGCAGCTAAAGTGAGCTGTACTCACCTACTTTTAATGCCCAATAATCGTTGTTCACAGCTATACACGTAGTATCTGGGTAGTTGTGAATATGTACGCATATAAATAATTCGATTGACCAAATTGGGAAAGATTCACGGCCTCGGTGGGAGTCGAACCCACACAACAGGGAAGGCTTTTGCCCAGCCAACACTCTACAATTGAGCTACAAATAAATATTTTATAGAAAAGAATGGTTATCAAGCAGAATAAGTTATGAGAATCGGGTTTCTGGGGATAAATCAATAAAAAAGAACGTAACATGCTAGGCTTTTATTTTTGTTTAAAACCCGAGTTCCTAAATTTGGGGTTTTAACTCATTATCGCGATTATGTATTTTCGAACAGTTTCGTTGTAGACATTTTGCCCCTGAGCGCAGATAGTTTTGCATAAGGTGATTTAAAATATTTTGTTTTCTTTTGAAATCATATAACTGAGTCTTTTGAATTCTATCTAAGCAGAAAAAACCGGCTGTTTTTTGTAATTATTTATCTAGAGGAGCGACAGAAAGGCCACGATCGCCGTCCTCTCAACTGAATGAAATGAAACGGCAGGAAGCGGAATTTCGTACGAGGATATGCGAACCTTCGGAACGAGATGTCGATGTAGGTGGTTAACATTTTGCCAATTTTCGCCTGCCCGTATTTTGCTTCTGAAACATGTAAACCTGTACTTCAAAAACCTTTCGCTCTTCAGCGTCTCCTATATTACATGAATGATGGCATTCCAGGAGATATGCTAGCTGAACCACCAGATCGCCTGTGGACGGAGGTGAAGCGCCTAGTACCAGAGCGATTGGTGACTGCCTGGAAGTCTCTTCACGATGAGCTTCTTGAAGAAATCGGTCAGGGCTACGAAATGGCAGTACGCAGGGCAATAGGTAAGTTTCCTGTAGCAGCTGTCTTGGAAGCTTGCGGGGTCAGACTTACGGTCACCTGGAGCCCAGGGATGCATTTAAAAGGGCCGTCCGTGTACTTACAATTCTTTTGCATTTTGCGTTATACTCCTGATAAGAACCTCATTAGCATGCAGATGTCGTAGGGGATTATCTGCAATATGCATAAAAGCATTTTCACGCCAAATCTGCAGGAACAGTCTTGTAAATCTTACGGAGTCACACTAACGGTCATGGAGCCCAGGGATACATTTAAAAGGGCTGTCCACGTACTTGTGATTCTTTTGCCTTCTACTCCTGCTAAGGATCTAATTAGCATGTCGACGTCATAACGGATTCTCTACAGTGCGCGTAAAAGAAT